CCGGAAAAAACCGTAGCAGGAAGCTAGCGAAGTCGTAGTATATATCGTCACAAATAGAACTGCCCGGTAAACCGTAGGCAGAGAGAGAGAAGAGGACAACAAACGAGGGGCTGTGACAAACTGTTTCGTCGCAGTTTCACTGACTCATCATATAATATATATACTGTGGAGGAGTTAAGAAGACTGAGAAATTGAATGATTTCAGTGTGTCTTTGTTTTTTTATTTTTATCCTTTGTTCAATGTAAAAAAATTATAAAACACTGAAAGAAATAAGAATACACTAAAACAATGAAGAAGAAGACATTGTTTTCTGTCTTTCTGGTTTGTCTGTCTCTTTGCCTGTCTATCCTTTCATTTTTTATTTTCTTCGCTCATCTTATTTCTTCTTCTATAAGTGTTTGCACTCTTAGTCAATAGTTCTGTGACAATATATAGCTGTTCTGTGTTCAAATATACGGTCGACCGACATTCTATTGTAATCTAATTTAATTAGATTAGAGACGTTGTACAAGCGCTTTGTTGCTTGCCTCTCTACTCTACTTGTGAAGCAGCCCGCGACCTCTTACGGGCCCATCAACAAAACGAGAACATACAATACAAAATGAAAAACGAATGGTTATTTCAGATTGCTTATATGGACGCTGCAGAGCCTTGGCAATACGGATTTCAAGATGCAGCCACTCCTATGATGCAAGGAATTATTGAGTGCGCCCAGGTCGCAGATTGTCACAGAACTATTGACTAAGAGTGCAAACACTTGAAGTACAAGAAGAAATAAGATGAGCGAATAAAATAAAAAATGAAAGGATAGACAGGCAAAGAGACAGACAAACCAGAAAGACAGAAAACAATGTCTTCTTCTTCATTGTTTTAGTGTATTCTTATTTCTTTCAGTGTTTTGTAATTTTTTTACATTGAACAAAGGATAAAAATAAAAAAAAAACAAAGACACACTGAAATCATTCAATTTCTCAGTCTTCTTAACTCCCCCACAGCCCCTCTCACGTACAAGGTTCGCGACGTTGATGAAGTTGAGCGCGAGCTGCCCCCAGCCCCGTATGCCATAACAGCCCACGTGCACGCTGTGGGAGAGACTATCATAAGGATGTGGGCAATGGTAGCAGCCCTCCCGCCGACCTATAGGACGAAGATGATTCAGGCAAGCAACCTCGTCACAGCAGGAGCCAGGACGGCTAGCATCAACCATACCTCTGAAGCATGCACGGCAGAAGGCATGACGATTGTGGGGCGTTCACCATCACAGTTAAGTGCACAGTCGCTATAGCACCCGCAGGCACAGACGGGACATACTGCATCTGGATGTAGAGGATGTTCACAATCCGGATACAGGTGGCATCCCTGCAGACAGTGGGCCCGAAAAATAATATGGTTGTAGTGACGTCGACAAAGTCGATGCTTCCACAGCAAAGTGTAAATGTGTCGGTGGCCACACAAAGGAGGTGGTCACAAAGGGTTAGTGCAGCATGTGGGGGAATAAAGACTGAATCAGGCACGGTGACAGACACGGAGGTAGGCACGGAGGTAGGCACGGAGACAAACACACAGACGGGTACGGAGACAGGTGAGGAGGCAGACACAGAGACGGACGCAGAGGCGGGCACGGAAGTACACGAGGTACCCATAGGGTCAATAACCTGGAAGGAGACATACACAGAAACAGGCACGGAGACAGGTGCGGAGACAGGCACAGGTTCGGGTTCGAGAGGGGGTGCCGAACGTTCGGGCGTTCGGCGAACGCCGGCAACCCTGTATATATTGTCACAGAACTATTGACTAAGAGCGTAAGCACGTGAAGTAGAAGAAGAAATAAGATGAGTGAAGAAAAGAAATATGAAAGGACAAACAGACAAAGAGATAGACAAACCAGAATGACACAAAACAGTGTCCTCTTATTCTTTGTTTCACTGTATTCTTATTTCTTTCAGTGTTTTACAAAAAAAAATTACACTGAACAAGGGATAAAAATAAAAACAAAGACACATTGAAATCATTCAGTTTCTCAGTCTTCTTAACGCCTCCTCCACCGTGCCTCTAACGTACAAGGCTTGCCACGTTGATGAAGTTGAGCGCGAGCTGCCCCCATCCCCGTATGCCATAACAACCCACTTGCACACTATGGGAAAGAGGCAAAGTGAAGGAAGAGGTGTTAAACAGAAGGAAGAGAGGAGCAGAAAAGGAAAATTGATAAGCAGAGGGAGAAAAAATAATAATAATAATAATAAATTTGACACAAATATCTTCTTTCTTTTACTGCATTCTTCTTTCTTTCACAGTTTTGCAGTTTTGGTGAAGAGTCTACCACGTTCCGTTTTCAGCCCACCTGCACTTCTTCATTTTTCATTCTCATTCTCACCCTTCAGACTTTTCCTTTGAGGGTGTTAGCGTGCAGGGTACACAATAAAATGACAGAAACTTATGTTCTTCTTTTACTGCATTCTTCATTGTTTTGCAGTTTTAGTGAAGGGTTTCCCACCTTTGACATTCTTGTACACTATTTTCAGCGCACCTGCACATTTTTGTCATGGTGTAAGGTACGTCTAAGTAAGACCCTCACGACAGATACGGCAACTGTCATAAGGCTGCGGGCGATGGTAGCAGCCCTCCCACTGATCCACAGGACGAAAACCATTCAGGTAAGCAACTTTGTCACAGCAGGAGTCAGGGCGGCTATCATTAACCATACCTCTGAA